TGTGCCCCTGCAGTGCCGTCTTCCTTATTGTGGCCACTGGGTCCGGAAGATTAATGGTCACATTTTAAAAATTCACACAGACCTGGAATCAGCACGAGAAAATACAGATTTAAATTAACAAGGAAAAAGCAGAATCCCATCAAAGGAAATAAATCGTGCTGGCAACTATTGTCACGTAATAAAATGTATTCTGTAACTGAAGGGCTTTTGTATGGAGCTGTCTGCAGCGTCGTGGCCATGTTAATTGAATCAGGTGCCTAGACTGACTTGGAGGAAAAAATGAAATTCCCCTCAGCATCTATTTAGCCAGAGCCATTGTTGGCAGCTCGTGGGATTTGCTACAGGACGGCCCGTCCCTCCCACAGAGAGAGGTGATCACTCAGCAGGGTGCACCCTGTCTCCTCTGGGCGGCTCCGTGGGTGGGGGACAGAGAGGACAGCTCAGTCAAGTGCCCCGAGCATCCAGGGGCTGTTCTGGTAAGAATTCTCCAGCTACCCGACAGATTTCGGAATAATAGTTCATCATTTGAGTCAAGTGGCAGAAATGGTTGGCCCCTGGTGGCCAGTCCCCCATTCCATTGGTCTGGGCCCTGCTGGGGGTGGTACGAGGGGGTCTGCCGTGCTAGACGGGGTCGGCTTGCTGGGGGCTCCCCCTGCTCGCTCCTCTCCTATGGCCCAGCGTCGTGAACGGGGTGTGCTTTTCATCCGAGTAGATGGTCACGTTACAGGAAAGGAGCTAAAGAGTATTGGGTTAACAGTCACAATTCCCAGTGTAGAAATAAGGCTTTTACAATGGACCTTTTCTCATTAGATGCCATGGTGATAGGCCTGGCTTCTGCCATTATCGGCTGCTAAAATATTTTAAATGAGTGTAAAATATCTTACCAGACAGTTGTACCGTGATCTTTAACCAGTCCCCGATTATTTGATACTTCATTTTATTCCAGTTTTTGGTTTTATAAGCAATGCCATGATGAATATATTTACTGTTTGTGTAAAAATATCCATGAATCAAAAATAATTGCATTTTCCAAACCGTTAACCAGCCCAGTTCCAGTGGCGGGAAGGAGATAAGTGTGAAGCCTTCCTGAAGTTCCCCGAGAGTGTCTCTGATTAGAAGAATCATATTTGTCCACTCACTTAACAAATGTCAGGTGCCATTATAGGGTCTCCCTAATATTTTTGGAATTGCCCGTGGTGTGGAGGGCACTGCTCCAGGCCCTGGGGATATGGAAAGAGAAGGCAGAAGGCAGACTGTGCTCCGGAGACACGTAGACAAATGGGACAGTCCTCTAGACTGGGAAGGGCTCTGTAGGAAGGGGAGAGAGCTGTGAAAGAGCCACCAGGCCGGGCACTTCCTCAGGGGGGTGGCCTGGCTGGGGAAGGGGAGCCAGCTTCTGGGAGCTGGGGGAAGAGCGTATCAGGCAGCAGGAACAGTGAGTACAAAGGCCCTGGGGCAGGGGTGAGAGTGAGGAAGACCAAGCAGCAGCCAGTACAGGTGGAGGGTGTGAGTGCAGGAGCCAGACGAGGGACAAATGGGCAGCGACGGGAGGCAGAGTCTGGGGAGTTGGGCTGGTGTGGGAGACAGCAGAGACCAGGGTGTGGGTGTGGATTTGGTTGCCCAAGGCAAGTGTGTGGCGGGAGTGCGAAGGGAGCTAAACCAGAAGGCTTGAAAAGAGCAACCTCTAAAAGGTTGGAGGAGGAGCCAGAAAGGACCATCTGCAAGGAAGGAGGAGAACCAGGCCAGAAGAGGTGGGCTGCAGGGTGCGGTCTGCTAGGTGAGTCTGATGGCCAGGAAGCTCGGGCCACGCTGGGCCTGGGGCAGCGAAGCAGCCGGGCACCTGGACTTCTGTGTGTTTACTTCTTTACGGCCCACATGCCATCGAATTACCCCCAGACTGTTCACTGGTCTTCGAGCTTGTTATGGCTCCGTATGCAGTAGGTGCTGAATAATTGTTTGCAGGGTCATGGTAATCTCTGTCATAACTTGTTATGGCTCCGTATGCAGTAGGTGCTGAATAATTGTTTGCAGGGTCATGGTAATCTCTGTCATAACTTGCTGCTCCATTCCCATCACTCAGGGCATCTCCATCTTTTTTTTTTTTTTCCTCACTTTCCCACAGGCAGGCAAGGTTTTTAAGTTGCAAATTGGATCTTCTCATGTCCCTGCTTACAGATCCTTCTGGATAAAGTCAGAAGTTGTGCAGGGTCCTGAGTGCTGCGGCCCGTAGCCCTCTCCAGCCTGGTCCCACAGCCTCTCCCCGGCCTTCAGGCTCCCGCCATCCCAGCCTCCTTCCAGGGCTTCCTTCCACCACCGAACCAGCCAGTCGGGAGGCCTGGATGGCGCTCGCTCCTCCCCGCCGGCCGCACCCCTTCCCCTGCCCATCCTCTCTGCACCGCCCCCCCCCACGGCCCTGTCCTCATAGTACTCAGAAGCAGCCTTGCCCAGAGCCCTGCCTGGCATGGTAGTCAGTGTTCCTGCTTCCCACGTATGACTATGTTCGTGAGCAGGTATCCTGCTACCTCATGAGTGTTTTCATGTCCCTGCTTCAGGGTGAGCTCTGCAAAGGCAGGGACCCGCCTGTCCGGCTACTTCTGAGCCCCCCCACCCCCCACCCCCAGGTCTCTGCTGATGAATGTCAGGCGCTCAGTAGGCCACTGCATGGCTGGCTGCCCCCTTCTCTGCTCCAGTCCTGCTTGGCCCCACCTCCTCCGTGACCCTCCCTGAATGCATCTTTTTAGAGCTTTCAAAGCTTGGACATCTTAGTGCTCCACAACCCTAAAGCAGGGTTCTCCCCGGGGAAACACTGGAACCCCCCTCGTTGGTACAGTGGCTGCAGTTACAGCGCCCACCCCAGCCAGCATCACGACCGTGCAGCCCACCAGCCCCACAGCTCCCTGTGCTCACAGGGGAGCTCCATGCTTGCTTCCAGCTCTGCTGTCGCCATCTTGAAATTCTTAATAACACTTGAACCCGAGGCCCACATTTTTATTTTGCACTGAGCCCTGCATGCCGGGGAGCTGGCCCTGTATCTGCCATGTAGGGCCGTGTGAGGAGCCGTAGGAGAACGTGTGAGACCCGCATACCCCGGGGCCTGGCACATGGCAGGCACTCCCTGCAGGGTCACCTGTCATCATTTTAGCTCTGCTCAACCACAGCCACAGTCAATAATTCATCCTCGTGTTTGCTCAGCTTCATTGACTAAGTGCTGTGGTCAGAGGCATTGATCAACTGCTTACAGCCCTTCCCAGCTGCTCCTCGCCCTCTCAGGTTTCCTGAACCTGGCCCGGCTTCAGAGTCGCTGCTGGAGCTTGTTAAAAATAGATTTCTGGACTGCACCCCAGGCCCTCTCAACTGGACTCCCCCGGGTCGGGGCTGTGAATCTGTGTAGTTAGCAAGTTCCCAGGCAACGCTAATACCTTCATCCGAGCCCTGATGGGCGGGGCCCAGAACCCAGACCTCTTTCCCCTCTGGCCCTGGCCTGTCTTTCCAGTTTCATGTCCCCGGTGTGCCCTGCCCCTGCCTGTCAGCTTTCCCTGACCACCCACTGAGCCCCTTGTACTCTTGTAACTCCTGGTCCTCCTCTGAGAACAGGACAAAGCTCTGTCCCCTTCGTCCGAATATTGTTCCTTCCTTTCACACTCAGCACCCAGTTTTGATTCTCCTCTGAGCATGTCGTGTTGCAGGGTGATTTGTCCCTGCACCTCTGTCCCCTGTGGCCTGAGAGCCCCTTCGGGGAGCTCACCCTGCACCCTTAGTCAGCATCCTGCACCCTTAGTCAGCATCCTGAGCATTCACTGCATGTGGGCCATGTCCACGTGGTTCTGTCCGCTGTCTCCCCGGCAGCCCCAAGGGGGTGCACGTTTGGTGCTCAGTGAAGGCCCTCAGCCTGGTGAGCCAGGCTGGTTGGCAGCACGGCTGTGGGCGCTCACCCCACAGACCAAATGCCCTCGGCACCGAGAAGTCCTGGGAGGTTCTTGCTGGCTCCCGGCTCTGCGGGAGCAGGCCCTGAGTGGAGAGCCTTTCCTCCCGGGGGTCCGCCTGCACAGGAGTGGTTCCAGCCGTCACCCGTGCGTCTCAGAGAAGGCAGAATGTGAGACGTAAAGCTTTCTTCGTGTAGTGAGCGCTCCCTCCCTTTTGGAAATGCCGGGTGTGGCCAAAGCTCAGGCTGCAGAGCCATTTCACACTGGCCCCCCATCGTGCCAAGAAGAGGTATTTTTGTTGTTGTTTTCCCCCTCAGACCTGTGGGGTTTTAAATATTTCTCCTATTATTTTGATCTTGCTTTTCCGCATTTGCTAATGGCAGCTCACGACCACACCAAACAGATTGTTTGCTTTGGCTGAATACTCACTTATCTCCGTGCGTGTCATGACTTTAATGCCAACACCTGTGCCAGAGAAGACAAGCTGGTTAATCAAAGGTGCTTTCCAGAGCGCCTACTGTGCGCTCCCACCAAAGGGGTGAATGCAGACAAGTAGTTCAGAGGAGTGTGCCCTTCCTGTTCTCAGTTGTCATCGGGCTCCTGAACTCCCAGGGTCGTCATAGCTGCTTTGCTCACAAAGTGCTTCCTGTGCTGTCACCCCAGCAGCCCTTCGGGGAAGGTACAGACGCCAACACACAGATGACAGAACCAGTACGGCAGAACCGATCAAGGCCCACGTGCAAAGCCTGAGCGTCCTGGTGCCGCTGGTGTGTTTGGCCTGGTGGGCAGATACCTAGTAGGCAGAGATCAGGACTAAGCTGTCCACCTCCCTGAAGCACCATAGGCGTGCTGCGGGCTGGGGAAACCCTTTCTTTTTCCCGGATGTCCTTCCCAGCGTGGACAAAGGTGGCTGCCGAGGTCTGGACACTTCTCAGTCCCTTGGAGGGACTCGGGCCGGAGGGGGAGCGCTGCTCTCCAGGGGCGCCCACTCCTGCACACACCGCAGTGGGCCGTCTCACACGGAGGGATTGCTTCGTACACCCTGTAACCTCCTTTTTCTCCTTGTCTCTTTCTCAGGCACATCTCGCTCACTCTCCCCGCCACCTTCCGGGGCAGGAACAGCACTCGGGCGGACTACGAGTACCAGCACTCCAACCTGTATGCCATATCAGGTGCGTGGGTTGGGCCCCTGCTCTGCAGCCGGCGAGCACGACTGTCCCGCACCACCTCCCTCCATGTGCCCCCCCCCCGGGCTCTGAGGGCGTCTGCCTTACCTCTTCTCCCTGCTGGCACCAGGCCTCCCCTTTCCTCTGTGTCACCGCAGCCCTTCGAGGAGGGCCAAATACTCAGCATGTTTTCAAACTAATGATGAAAAACAATGTGTGGATTTCACAAGCTTGAAGGGGGTTTCCAGAGAATAGTCACCGCATTGTTCACCTGCCAGGTCCAGGGCAGGTTCCCCAGGGGGCCCGGGGAGCAGCACAGAGCAGGGGCCTGGTCCACGCGCCCTCCCGGGTCCAGGTCTGTCCTCACCTCTCATTTCTCAAAGCCAGGTTTGTGGCCAGAGGTTGCACTGGTGGTCTCCCCGTCACACCCCCCGTCCTAGGAGTCTGTGATTTCTGAACTTGGCCTTGAAATTGATAATGTTACCTTGGCAGGAACTTCATCAGTCCTCGTTTTCCTTTTCGCCTTCAGCCGGGGAGGGGAAACTTACAAGCCTTATTACAGAATTGAGATTCATTAGGTGCCTGGCAGGGCAGGTGACTTGCTAAGAGCTGAGGAAACCCACAAACTCGCCCCGATCATGCCGTGCCTCTGGGCAGGGGTGTCCGTTTCTAAGGGGGAAGTGGCAAATCGGTGCCACTTACCAGTGCACGCTCTTAATGGTGAGTGACATTTTGAACATGGGAACATGGCATTCGTTCATGTACCATAATGAACCAGTTATTTAAAAGGTAATCTTTGTTCTAAAAGCTGCAACTTCAGGTTACTAAATAGATGAAATAGAACAGTGGTATAATTCGTGTCAGTATTAGTTTTTCTTGTTATGATCGCTCCCTAATAGGTTTGGAAGTAAAAGCAAAAGCCACTTGTTCCATTTCTGGGTGGCATACCTGCCGGGGAAGGGAAGGACAGGGATGTCCCCCACGCCCTTGCCCCCCCCCCCCCGCGTTTCTGCGGGAGCCAGGCTCCTACAGGGCGGAGGAACCACGTCGTCTGAGAAAAGCGCCCCAGCGAGAGCTGCTTTTGTGCTGTGCTATTTCAGCAGAGTCGACAAGGAACATAACAAGTGTAGAAAGATGACCTATTTTGTAGAAAAGCCGGTCATTTCCCCAGATGCTTAGTGGCAGAGGGATGCAGAACAGGTCTGCGAAATCCAGCAGGGCGACCCCGTTCTGAACACACATAAGGAAGGCTCAGTCAGAGCAGATGACTTTTTTTCCTCCAGCTTGCAAATCTTTTTCCAGCCGGAGTGTTCGGCTGCCCCCCCTCACCTGGGCTCTCTGATGGCTTTCCCAGCTGTTGATGTTCCTGCAGAAAAGGGCCCACAGAGTGAAATCTCCCCACGTTTGGCAGGAACGTGCCTGTCTGCCTCTGGACCACTGCTTCCTCGCCCCCTGGCTTTGATGAGGTGTTGTCTGGGTTCATTTCAGCTGTTAGTTTAGCAATACCTAGGTAACAGCCTCAAGACACAGGGGAAGCCATTCAGAAACTTCCTGTTACATTTATGTAAATGGCAGTGGGTTGGATTTTATCTTCCAAACAGAGGTAGTTGAGGCTGCAGCCCACGGCAGCAGGCAGCTCGGGCCTCCTTGGCGGCTGCAGGCACCAAATTGCTCTGCCAGGGTTCGGGACTGCTCGGTTGTGATGCTGCCAGAAATACCCCGCAGGACCCACTGGCTCCGTAAGGCCTGCAAGCTCAGCATCGGGCAACCACGGTGCAGCTGGGAAGCCTGCCCGCCTGCCCACCGGCAGCCTGCCTGCAAGTCGTTCTGGCTGGAAGGGAGCAGAGACCTCCCCTCCCCCGTACGAACAGTACTTGGCACTGAGTGGCACAGCTCGGTTCAGAATTGTGAAGTTAAGGTTTTAGTGGTTTCTTCCAAAAACAGCCAAGGCAAAGTGTGCCCTGGCCCTAGCCCTTGCCCGGTGCCCGATGCCATGGTAGCTGGAGCTCTGCTGGTAATGAAATGAACCATCCAACCTCTCTCCTTCCCAACTGTGCTGGCACATGCCCACTGCAGACTTCAGGGGCTAATCCCTTGGGGCAGACTCCTGGTGTGCCCTGGTTCATTCCTGAAAATATTTGATGACTGAGTTTGCAGTCCTTCCTAAGATAAGTAGATTTCCAGAGTAATTAGAATTTGGAAAAGCAGCTCACATTTAATTTGTATGGATATTAAAGTCATGTTTACTTTTACATGTTCTCCCAAGGGCATACCGGTTAATATATCCCTTCTCCGGTGTCCTTCACTAAGACATCCATGCCACACCTGCAGAAGACAGGCGTGGCTCAGAGCTGCTGGAGAAACCATCAGAGAGAGTGTGTAGCTCCGTCCCCAGCACCCGGGTGCTCAGCAAATGTTCAGGGATGGAAGGCAGGGAGGGGAGCATTTAGCCCAGTGTCTGCCTTGCCCAGGAATGTCCTCTGTGACCTCTGGGGAAGATGGTCATCCTGACTGGCTGCTCCGCCACCTCCAGCATCTGGGGCCACCACCTCGCATGAACCCATTCTGTGTCTTCAAGGTCCTCCCTCGTTCAGCTGGGCTCTGTCTCCCCGTATGTTCATACCCACCCAGCCTTTTGGGGTCCTACGCATTGTCTGCCAAACGTGACAACTGTTCGACATAGTCCAGCCAGGGGTTTCCTCTTGCCCCCAGAAGTGGGTGAGGAACTTCTGCTGACTCAGTGTCTAGATCCTGAGAAGCTGTACCCCTTGCTCCACCAAGGGCGCCCTAATCAAAGTGGCATGAGGTATGCCATTGATCCCCACTCTGCTGCTTCTGGGAATTTCTTCTAGAACATATTACCAATGTGCAAAAAGATTTATCTACAAACAGGAGCACTGATGCTTTTCAAAAATAATCCTCCAAAAAGGGGCTGGGGGATGGGCTTCCTAAATGCCTAAAACAGAGGCAGATGGTGAAATTCTGAAACATCTGTACAATGTCCTTAACTTTTCGGGCAGCAAAAAATGATTTCAATGCCCTGGCATAGTTGTTGGGGCATCGCCCTGTACCCCAGAAGGCTGTGGATCGACTCTGCGTCAGGGCACATACCTAGGTTACGGGTTCGGTCCCTGGTCAGGGTGCGTACGGGAGGCGGCCGTTCGATGTTCCTCACGTCAGTGTTTCACTTTTTCTCTCTACCTTCTCCTCTCTCTCTAAAAATCAATAAACATACACTTGGGTGAGGATTTCTTAAAATGATGATTTCGATGAATAGATGTGCATAGATATAAGTAACAAGTCATAAAGCAGCGTGTGACCTCGTTTAAGAACGCGCACCTGCAGGTCTGGACGGGCGCGGCCCAAAGCCTTTGCGGGCGCTGCCCCTGGACTTTCCTGCTCTTTTCTCCTTCTGTGTGGTGCCTCGTTTTTCTGTGATGGCATGTGCTGCGTTCGTAGTGAGAGAAACTGTAGACCTGACGTTCATTCGGCACGACCTCGTGCAGCTTGCGGGCCCCCGGCGGTCGCCGCCCCCTTTCTGCGAGCTCATCCCCCGACCCACCGTGCGCTTCCAGGCTCGACTGGAAATCGATCTCAGGCCCAGATCGATGATCTTCTTACTGCTCCTTCCTGAGAGCATGACTTTTCCTGGTGTCCAGTCCCCTGGACTCTCCTGTCCACTGGCATTCCTGAAAGACCACGGGCGGCCACTCCTCCAGCGCCTCTTACAGCCAACGGGCCGAGTGGGGAAGCGCCTGGCGCTCCAGCCACCCCCTCACCGTGCTCTCCGTGTCCCGGGTCCCCGTGTGGTCCTGCTCCTTGGGGCGTGAGGATGACTTTCCCTGGAAGAGGAGACAGAAGTAAGATGGCGGGCGGCTGGTTTGGTGCACTTTGTATGTTTCAGGGTCGGCAAACTGTGGCTCGCGGCCAGAGGTTCCCCACCGCCTGTCTCTGTGTGTCTTGGGAGCTGAGGGTGGTTTCATGTATTTAACTAGTTGGGAAACCATAGAAAATAATATTCAGTGATGCGCAGGTTCCTGTCACACAGCAGTGGCAGAGCCGGGCGTGTAACAGGCCGGAAGGCCCACTGCAGCTGGGATATTTCCCATCTGTCCCTTTGCAGAAGAAACTCACCAACCCCTGGTCTTTGTCATCTGTCCTATGCAAGGGGCGCCCCCATTCTTACTCTTCGTCCTCTGCACATAACTTCACACCCCTTTGCCGATGGTCCGTCCTTCTGTGCGTGGCGGGTCAGCGCGCTGTCCGTGTTCTGGCTTCTGCGGCCCCTCGCTCTGTGCCTTTAAGCGCTTCCCTCCTGGAGGGCTGTCTCCAGGGCCATGGGCACTTGGCTAGTTTCTATCCCAAGTTCCTTGCTGGGACTCTTAGTGGCTGTTGGTTTTCTTTGTAAGAATCTCTTCTCCCTCCTGAAAAGTCTTCTGCTTTAGTCCCAAATGATGACGTTCTACCTTTTTTCCTTGGAATTTTTCTTAGATGTTTAGGTGTCTGACCGTGTATTCATTCCTATTTCACCTATTCCAGAAAGATGTAAGGTAGCTCCAAAAATACATGTAACATAATAAAAACGGGAATGAAAAAATAAGAGTGAACCAAAAATGGGACAGGAAAGTAGGGTTCTGTTGGGGGTGCAGGGGCCCCCGAGTTTGGCTCTGAGCCAGGACAGCTTCTGTGCGGTCAGCAGGAAAGCTGGTGAGTGGCTCAGTAAGAAACTCACTGTATTCTTCTAAGTAAAGAGGGTGCCGTGAACAACGAAACAACCACTTGTCAGCGCATTTTAAAAGGTCCAGTTATATAACTGCGTGTAGCGGGGAATCAGCTCATGTTTGGAACCCAACAATGTGTGGGAGTTGGGCAAGATGGTTCGGAAGAGATATTCACGTGCCGGGCGTCACGTGCCTTGGGGACTGGGGACCTCGGGGGTGTCGGGAAGGAGGAGCGCCCCGCCTGCTGTCCAGCCTGAGGGACACACCACACGGGAAGCTCCCTGA